GCCTGTCACATCACATCCAAAATCAAGACCAAAGAAAACAGGCACACTCTTGGTTTGCCTGAGCTCAGCTGGCTTCCTTCATTTCCAGACAGCTCAGGGCCCAGCCTAAGGAACACAGCCCTGCTTCAGGCTGGGTCTCCTACCTCCCTTAAACGGCTCAGCAGGTAAGAACATGGGTAAGAGCTCTTGGCAGAGGGACCCAGGTCTGATTCTCAGCACCCATATAGAACAACCATTGGTAACTCCAGTTCCAGGGGATCGAATGACCTCTTCTGAGCCTCATGGCACTGCATACAAGCAAAATATTCACAGACAAAAATGAATAAGTCTAATATATATACATATATACACACATATATATGAGTAGTGTGTGTGTGTGTGTGTGTGTGTGTGTGTGTGTGTGTGTGTGTGTATGTGTGTGTGTGTGTATTCAATATATATATGTATATTCAAGACAAAGCAAGTTCTTGAAAACCGGTTTGGGTAAAAGTCAATAGCTAAATTTTCAAATACCATGTTATGTTGGGGCATTCATGGAAATCTCAAACAGAAGTATCTGCTGGGTAATGGGATACTGGGCTTTACAGCTCAGCAGAGTGATGGAAGCTGAAGACAAATTTGGGCCTATAAGCAGGCATGGTGGTACATACCTTTAATCCTAGTACTCAGGGAGGCAGAGGCAGGCAGATCACTGTGAGTTTAAGATCAGCCTGGTCTGCAAAATGAGTCCAGGACAGCCAGGGATACACAGAGAAGCCCTGTCTCGAAAAAGCAAACAAACAACAAAATTGGGCCTCTAAGCATAGAATCACCCTCCAGAAGCTCCGTGGCTGAGCCTGCAGGACAATGACATCCTCCCTGAATTTCCACATCTGTAAAATGAAGGCGTTCAGTTCATCATGATGTGACAAGCTGTGGCCACACATAAAATTATATTTAGTAATGTGAAACATGGTGTTGGACACATAAACCTCGTGTATGAGGTGGGGGTCGAGACAGGGTCAAGTAACCCTGACCTGCTGCTTTAGCCTCCCAAGTGCATGCTGTTATATTTTTGTTGAGAAAAGTATCCCAGAAGACTGGACAAATGGCTCAGCAGTTAAGAGCACTGCTTTGGGGCTGAGAGATAGCTCAGAGGTTAAGAGCACTGGCTGTTCTTCCAAAGGTCCTGAGTTCAATTCCCAGCATCCAGATGGTAGCTCACAACCATCTATAATGGGATCTGATGCCCTCTTCTGCCCTGCAGAATACTGTATAAATAAAAATAAAAAATAAAAAAAAGAGGACCCAGGATCAATTCCCAGCACCCACATGGTGGCTCACACCTGCCTGTAACTCCTACTGCAGGAGTTACACCCTTATACAGACATGCATGCAAGCAAAATACCAATGTACATAAATAAACATAAATTATTTAAGAAAAAAAAAAGGACTCCAAAGACACATTGGCTGGGGAAGCTTCTAGTCATAAGAAACAAGCTAAGGAGACCAGACTCTGTTGTCAGGAAAATAATATACAACACAAATAATTCAGTGGCACAAGCTGTTACTGATGTTACCTACTCTTTCTTCTAAATTTATACACACTGATCCCATGACTTCACTCTATATGTCTACCCTAAGAAAATGACACTTAACAAAAAACCTAACTTAATATTTGTTTTAATTTTTAAAATTCTGTATATCTGTGGTGTGGGGTATGGATGTGAGAACAGGTAGGTGCTAATGGAGGCCAAGGGCCTGGGGTACCCTGGAGCTGAAGTTAGAGGCAATTGTGGGTCACTTGATATGAGTTCTGGGACTCCAAACTGGGGTCCTCTACAAGAGCAGTATGTACTTCTAATCATTCAGCCATCTCTCCAGCCCCAGAGACAAACTTCTAAAGAGCAGGCCAAAGAGAACTTAGATGCACCACAGTAAAACCCTTTTGTACTTATTTAAAAGTGGGATTGGAAGGTCAGCGTTGGGAGATGGGTGAGAAGGTGTTGATTACCAACAGGTGTTTGTAGCCTCAGATGGTACAAAACAAAACCTGAAGGCTTCCATCTAGAAAACAAAGTGAGATATAAAATTGCAGAATATTGTTCTGGGAGAATTTTCTAAAACACTAATCACTCATTTCAATAGCAGTAGCACCCAGCCCTGTCCCTCTAAGGGTTGTTTCTGATAGTCCCTCTTCCTCAAATCCACATCCAGTGGAACTGGCATCGGGTTCAGCGGCCTTTTCCTGCTTGTCATGCTCCCTGGCCTGCCCTGACTTCTCTCTCTGCCTGCGATTACTACCACCCAGAGATCAGCACCCAGCGGCCTCCCCAGGCTTATCACAGGGACACTGGCAGACCTGCCGGACACCAGATCCTCTGACCTGCTTGGATCTCATCTCCAATCTCTCTTTCTACGCTGGGGCTACAGCTTTGTGTTTCCTTCAAGGAATTACTGTTTTCATTCCATGCCAAAAATACTCTGCCTAAGTCGGTCCTGCAGCTCCGCGGGGGGTGTGGGTCCTAAATGGGTGGAATTCTTTGCAAAAGCCTATGCACACTTACAGAAGCATATCCCCCCCCCCCTTGTCTCTCTCTCTCTCTGGAGGGAAGGTGAATAACTTACCAGGGCCTTCAAATGTCCATGAGACTGAAAAACTTAATTTAGTTTAGTCCTTTAGTCCCATCCTCCACAGTAACCTTGGGGTTTATCAAATCAGTGTCTCCTCTGTGGCTAGAAAAGGGGCTTGCACAAAACAAGCATGAATTAGATTCAACTGAATCATGGACAATATTTCCCCAAAGGAAGAAATTTTCTAAGAAGAAAGAAAAAAGAGAGACAGTTTCATTTGGGGCTGAATCTAGCTCAGTTAATAGAGTTCTTCATACACAGAGAGAGAGAGACAGACAGACAGAGTGACAGAGACAGAGAGATCTGGGTACAGTCTCCAGCATACATAAACCAGGCTAGGTGGCTTTCTGTAATTGTATCTTTAGGAGGTGGGAGCAGCCCAGGATCACACAGCTGGCTAGAGGTCAGCATGGGCTACTGAAGGCCCTGTCTTAAAAACAAACAAGCCAACAATGACAAAAAAACACAGCATGTTGGCACTTGCTTCTAACCCAAACAATCAGAAAGCAGAGGACCTTAGTGCATTCAGTATGGTTTATAAACAGAGTTCCAGGCTAACCAACCAGGGCTACATAGTGAAACTTTTGTTTCCATAAAGGGGGAAGGGGGACATAAAAAAGAGAAGGAGGAGGAAGAAGAGGAAGAGAAGGAGGAGGAGGAGGAGGAGCAGGAGGAGGAGGAGGAGGAGGAGGAGGAGGAGGAGAAGGAGGAGGAGGAGGAGGAGGAGGAGGAGGAGGAGGAGGAGGAGGAGATGACTTGTTTATTATCCAAACTGAGGGTTGTATCATAACCAAACGAGAACAAAAGTGAAAGTGAAATTACTACATTTATCTAAAAAACCACAGGGCCTGCTTAGAGTAAATCTGGGGTCATGATCCCCATCCAGGTCTTCTGTGGGGCTCACAAAGGTTTGGGTAATAATTCTCCCAGGCTCCCTACACTTCATTTCCTATTTTTTGCAACATGGAAAAGAAGTTCGCCAATATCTACCAAGTGAGGAGGGTGTTGGGAGAACAGATGACACACGAATGCCTTTGGAACACTTTGCCAGGCTGAGTCTTTCCATCAGCGTGTGGCTTCGAAGGCTTGCTTGGCTGCTGTGCTTATTTTGATACCCAGCCTCCTTCCAGGTCCAAAATATTTTCGAATGTGCTCAGATTTAGCACTGACATAGAGCAGGTTGTGCTGGAATGCACTCTGGCCGCATGCAGGGCTTCTCAGCAACTTGTAACTCCCATTCCCCTCTATAAGCATCGAAAACCTCACCCCTTCTATGCATTTTGACTTGTGAATGCTTTTCAAAGTATTTGATTTCATAAGGAATACATTCGTGATTTATAACAAACACATGGGGGCTGGGGAGACAGGCGAGTGGGTCAAGCACCTGCAATATAAACTGAAAATACCTGTGACTCTCCCTGGTGACAGTTCTGGGTCTAGTTAGTATTCCTAAGCATCATCACCGTTCATGACAGAAGCTTCTACTGCACTGCAGTTAGAGGTCAGGGAAAATAGAACCTCTTCCCTCCTGAGTTCACAGAGTCCCAAAATTCAACCAAGGAAAGGGCCTGCAGACACCTGGGTGAGGACAGCTGGCAGATGGGACTGGGTCCGTTTGTCTTTATGTGCACAGGAAGGACTTGATACTTTGCAGCTGTTGCTGGGCGTCTGCATGGGGCTGCTTTCAGGACTCCCGAGGAAGCCAAAGCAATGGATGCTCAGATCCCTTCTATAAAGCAATACAGTGTTCTACTTAAACCTGCACCCATCTTCCTGAACATTTAAGTTATACCCAGTTAACTTATAATACCTCATACAATATAATGGTCTCCACATAGCTGTCTCCCTGTTGTTTGTGTTATAAAGTCGAGGAAGAAAGTCTATGTATGTTAAACATGTGAGTCTGACTGTATTTTTAAACCTTTTTGGCCAAATCTGTATCTGAAAGATACAGATGAGAAAGGGCTACTAGAACATTAAATATGAACCCAGAGGCAAAGGAAAGACTTTCTTTTTTGGGGTTCTCGCCCCAAATCTTAGAAAATGGCTCACGGATGATGGAGGCTCGTCAAACACATCTAGCTGGAACCATATCCCTCCCAGGCTACACGATGACGCAGTCAGCTCCTCAAAGCATTAGCAGAGAAACTCAACTCAAGGACACACACACACACACTGGGGACATTTAGAGGAGAGACGGTTCCCTAACAACCCCCTTGCCCTTCCCGATGGGATCTTGAAAAGGGCAGCACAGAGAAATTCACAAAGTTATCTTTTCACAGTCTTTGGCTCCCGCAGTAGCAGTGACTAATGCAAGATGTTTCAGCCTAGCCATGAGTCTCTTCATATTACCAAATGCTTCCTTTCTTCTCTTTTTGTTGCTCCAGTTCTGCTCAGCAGCATTTCATAAGATGGTAAAAATAAAGAAATAAATCGGAGCAAACTGGAGTGAAAATGAAGCATCTGTGGAGGAAGAGCCTTGCCCACTGTGACTTGACCCAGGTCCTTCCAGTGCACCCTGGACCGTCTAGACCTGTACCCTGGCAGCTGTGGGCACATCCTATCTCCATTCTGCAGCAGCCAGAATGAGGCAACTCCTCTGCCTTCCTCTGTCTGCCCCACTTCAGGTTTGAGGTGGCTTGGTTTGTAACTTCCAGCATCATCCTTAAGAATAAATGCCAGGAAAAATATTTTACCTTAAAAGCGCTTCTTTGGTCCTACCCAAGAAATTCAGAAGCACACTCACACTCCACCAGCCAGTCAGACTCAAAGGAATGTTGAGCAATTTGTTGGCCCATCCCCAGCCCCATCCTGTCTGAGGTTTAAACATCTGCAACATTAAAAAAAAAAAAAAAAAAAAAAAAAGCTATGTAGAAATAAGCAGTTTTGGAAACTGTGTGTCAGAAAATAGTGGCTCATTGCCTGAATGAGACATTCCTGTAAAATTCCTACAGAACCACTGAGTAAAATTCCCAGCCTGCTGGAACAGAAAAGCCACAGTTCTATAGCAAAGGACAAGAATAGGTGTCCCTTGAACTTCTCTGATGTGGAACGTGACAGCACATTTTGCACACTGCATGAACAGGGGGTTCTCTCCTATCTACACCCTCCTGCACCAGCCTTTCACCTCTGAACTGCAAGCATGTTCACATCATGGTCAGCATAGCAACAGCTCCCTTTATACCACTTCCTGGAGTTACCAAACTATGGTCTACCTTCTTAAGACAATGGTCTCCAGTCAGGGTCTTCCTGTCCTGCTCCTGACACAGGTGGTTTGGTTCAGTTCGGTTTTATTGGGATATAACCCATTACTCAGGAGGAAAAAGCAAAGACAAAAAGCAGGAGGATTTCTATGAGTTTAAGTGTATACTAACCTACATTACCAAGTTCCAGGCCAGCCAGGCCTATATAGTGAGACTATCTCCAAATATATACATTTGAAGTGTATGCCTGGCAGGCATAAAGCCCTGAGTTCGATCCCATAAACCAGGTATGGGGGTACACCTGTAATACCAGTACAGGAAGGTGGAGGTAGGTGGTCCAGAAGTTCAAGGTCACTTTCAGCTACAGAGAAATTTCCAGGCCAGCATGGACTTTGTCTCAAAAGAAAGACAGACAGACAGATGACAGATACATGATAGATAGATAGATAGATAGATAGATAGATAGATAGATAGATAGATGATAGATAGATAGATAGATAGATAGATAGATAGATAGATAGGTAATAGATAGACAGATAGATGATTGATGGATAGATGATAGATAGCTGATTAGATGATTAAGCAGATAAAAGTGCTCGTTCGGAAACCTGAAGGCCAGAATTCGATCCCTGGACCGACATAAAAAGCCAGATGTAGCAGCATGCATCAGCCACCTCAGCAACCCTAGGGTGAGATGGCAGATTGAGACAGAATTATCCAGCTAGCCTGGGGTCTGCAGCATGGCAGACACAAGAGACCCCGCCTCCATATGATGGGAAGAGAAACCAACTCCTGAAGGTTGTCCTCTGACGTCCACACGTATGTGGTACCATGTACATGCTCACACTCACAGATATCATACACACACACACACTAATAATAAATTAACATTTTATAAAAGATATTTTATGGGTAACCTTTTTACAGGTCTTGTCCATGGCTGGGTGTGGTGGTGCGCACCAGCTTAGCACTTGGGAAGGGCTAGGGTTGGATAGAGAATGACGTAACCATTAGCCTGAATTACATGGCAAGTCTCTAAAACCAAAACCAAAACTGTAACAAAACCAAACCTACCAATATGAACGTGGATACAATTTAAAAATGAAATCCAGGTGCAGTAGTTTGTACCAGAAATCCCAGCACTCAGGAGGTCAAAGCAGAAGGCTCACCACCAGTTCAAGGCCATTCTGGGCTACATAGTGAGTTCCAGACTGTCCTAAGCTACAAAGTACTGTCCAATTTTAAAAACAAAAAAACACAAAACAGGGAGCTTGAGAGGGACCTCACTGGCTGCTCTTCTAGAGGACTGGGTTTAACTCCCCAGCACCCGTTAGCGTGGCTCACAAGCATCTGGAACTCCAGTTCCAGGGTACCTGACACCCTCTTCTGGCCTCCAAGGGCACCAGGCATGCATATGGTATACAGACTTACACTTCTACACATAAAAGCGAGTAGTAAATGTTTAAAAGCGGACTCTGGGGCTGGAGGGATGGCTATACTCCCAGAGGCTCTAGATTCAATTCCCAGCACCCATGTGGTGGCTTACACCCATCCGCCCAGTCCCAGGAGTTCCAACAGGCACAACTGTGGTGCACATGCCTACAAATGCAGGCAAAACGTTCACACACATAAAGTAAAATAAATACATCTAAAGGATTAAAAAAAAAGGTAACCATAATCCTAAACGTACAGAAAAATGCCTGATTGTAGTAAATTCCTACTATCAGTAGTGCCCAGTTAATCAAAGCACCAGAAGCATTACAAAGTCTGATAACTGCCAGGAGCGTGACTCAGAGCTGTCAAGTTATCCCAGCATGCACAAGACTCTGGGTTTTATCCTTAGCACCTTAGTAAACACGCACACACACACACACAAAATACATACATATATGTATGTTTAGAGAGAAAGAGAAAAAGATGTGAAAGCTTATTGAGAAATGCTCATTTGCTTGCTTGTTTGTCTGTTTGAGATGGGTGGTTTGAGATGGTGGTTTGTTTCCTTGCTTGTTTGTCTGTTTGAGATGGGGTCTCCATGTAGCCCCAGCAGTCCTGGCACTCACTATGTAGACCAGGCTGGCTTTGAACTTGCAGAGATCTACCTGCCTCTGCCTCCCGAGTGAGAAATACTCTTTTTTATTTAAATGTGTTGTGTGTTTGTGCACGATGTGTGTGTCAGGAGGCTGCTTGTGCCACGTGGCATGCATGTGGAGGTCAGAGGCTAACCTTAGGGGTTGGCTCTTCCTTCCTCCTCCATGTGGTTTCTGGAGGATTGAACTCGGGTCACCAGGTTTGCACAGCAAGACTTCAGCAGCTGAGCCATCCCTCTGGACAGAGAAACGCATTCTTGAATGAGCTGAACTGGATTCAGCACCTTTGCTATGGTGAGGCTCTGGGAACCATTTGATACAAGTGTGTCAGAAAGTTTATTTATATACAGCAGTATCCCACATGCTGGATGTCACTCACCGCAGCCACTTCTCACACTGGCACCAATATTTGGAGCATCTGCTCCTATCTTTGGAGTCCAGGAAGGATTTTGCCACTCTGAAACACAGCATGGCAAGATGGTAGAAGGGCAAACGGCACCACCTTCCTGTCAAGCGGGTATGGATTTGCTCCTGGTCGCGGTGTGGAGATGAGGTTCCATCTCAGAAAAAGGTATCTGTATGGACAATGGAGATCTGAAAACTGTCTCCCTCAGCAGAACTGCTGATTTAATTACTTCAGCCACTTGATATAGCCCTGGGCACAGGGAAACACTCAGCAAGTCTCAGATTAACTCTGCTCACCCCACTGCTCCCAGATCAACATCCTATTCGAGCCTATCTGTGAAGCCAGTATCCCAGCTACAGCCACAGAATCACCTTCACCCCTGCAGGCACCATACCTCCTCTGAGGAAGAAATGGGGTCAGAGCCTTTGCAGGAAAAACCACACAGGCGGGGGCTGGAGAGATGGCTCAGTGGTTAACAGCATTATCTGCTCTTCCAGAGGTCCTGAGTTCAATTCTCAGCACCCAAGGGGTGGCTTACAACCATCTATACTAGGATCTAATGCCTTCTTCTGGCACACATAGAACACTCATATTACCTATATATAATGAGCGTATAAATAAATAAATCTTAAAAAAACAAAAGAAAAACCACACAGGGTCCAGGGAAGCAGTGCCAGCCCTCCAAGAGACAGTGCAGGTGGGAGTTAAAATGATGGCTGCTTAAGTGAGACTGCCTGGGTTAAAGGCGGCTTCTATTATTATTATTATTATTATTATTATTATTATTATTATTATTATTAGTTATTATTAATACAGTGTCCTACTGTGCACCCCTGGCTGTCCTGGAATTCTTTGTAGACTAGCCTGGCCTCAAACTCCCAGAGATCCACCGGCGTCTGCCTCCTGAGTGCTTGAACTGAAGGCGTGTGCCACTGCAGCTGCCTCCCAAGGCAATCTTTACTTAAATCCTTGAGCCTCCAAGCCACACTTGTCTAGGAGAACGCTCTCTCCTTCTCTGGGTTTATCAACATGTGGTGTGTCCACATGTGTGTATGATGTGCACACTTTTGATTTGTCCTTGGCTCTCAATTCTACATCCCACTAAGACATAACACCTGTTGGCTCTACCTTCGTGTCCAGAATCTGCCCTAAGTGTCATGAGCCCTGGTCCAGCCTTTTTTCCTCAATATCTCATTTGGATGATGTTTCAGTTTAGATAGTTTTGTAGGGTCTCAGGGCCGGGGAGATGGCTCAGCAGCTAGGAGGTCTGGCTGCTTTTCCAGGGGACCTAGCATTCCTAGCACCCACGTGGTGGTTCACAACCTTCTGTAACTCTAGTTCCGGAGGATACACTTCCTCTAACCTCCACAGGAACTAGGCACACATAGACATCCATGCGGGCAAGTCATCCACAAACATAAAACAACAATAAATAAATCTCTTTCCAAAATTAAGCAAGGCTAGGTGGGAGTGACAGCAGCAGGGATGGCAGGAGCGGTGGTGCACGCCTTTGATTCCAGCGCTTATGGGAGGCAGAGGCAGAGGCAGGAGGATCTCTGAGTTCGAAGCCAGCATGATCTACAGAGCGAGGTCTTGGACAGCCAATGTTACACAGAGAAACCCTGTCTTGGGGGTGGGGTGGGGTGGGGTGGAGGAATTAAACAGGGTTTCACTCTGTAGCCTATGATGGCCTGGAACTCATAACAATGCCCCTGCCTCAGCCTGTCAAGTTTAGACATAATCGGTATGAGCCACCAGCCTGGCTTCTCGTGGTAATCAGAGCAGAGAGAGAGGCAG